CATTTAGTGGAACTCTTCAACTCCAGGGAAGAATCCAAAAAAGTTCAAACTATGTTGCGTATGACCTTAACACCGAAAACAATCATTTGCGACCGCATATGGCACGCCAAGTTCACAAAAATGAGCTAAACATAGTTTCACAGTCGATATACCAGGTTTATCGGTTGTAAACTATAGTTTACGGACTGTAAACTACAGTTAACAACGTTAATCTATATTTTACATCTGTAAACCATATTTAACGCGATAATCTATGTTTCACAACCGTAAACTATACTTAACACCGAAAACAATCATTTGCGATTGTAAAACGTAGATTATCTGATAAATACAGTTTCACGATTTGTAAACTATAGTTTACAAACCGTTAACTATAGTTAACGATCTGATAAATATAGTTTCACGATTTGTGAAACTATGGTTAACAACTCTTAACTATAGTTTACGATTGTAAATTATAGTTAACAAACGTGAATCTATGTTTATCAACAAAATCTATTGTTAACGCTTATTACAGACAGATAAACTTAGATTACCATTCGTAAACTATAGCTATAACAACCGTTAAATATAGTTTTACAGATGAAAACTATACTTTACGAATCGTTAACTATAGTTTACGGTTTGTAAACTATAGTTTAAAGTCGATAAACCTAGTTTATCAATTTATTGTAAAACTAGGTTTAGCTCATTTTTGTGAATTTGGTGTGCCATAGATGGGTCTTTTTAACCGTACACAGAGCATCGGTCTTAAAATAAACAGTTTAATTAAGGAATGAATTTAATAGCTACCCATTTTATACGGTATAAACTGGGTTGGGGCAGTTTACGCTTAAGCGGTTTATAAAAAAGCGTAAACTGTTCCAACCCAGTTTATACCGTATAAAATGGGTAGCTGTTAAATTCATTGCTTATAATTCAATTTTCATTCATTTAATGTAAGAAAAAACGATTATTGTACAAACAAAATGACTTCAATTTGTACAAAATTTGAATGTAACGTCAGGCGGATTAATACGTTGCTGACGCAAGTCATTGTGACGTAGGCAACCCATTTTATACAATATAAAATGATTTTTTATCCAATCAAATACAGCGTTACAACCAGATTTAAATTATTACACGATGTCTTTTGATTCATTACTACCTAAAATGCATGTAAATCAACAGTTTATTGGTCTCCATCATATTGATTTCGCACTCAAACTTTACTGTCTGTCCCTTTGAAACTTTTAGATAGTCTTCTTGAAAAAAAGTCATGAAAATTCCACTTTTGGGTCATTTGAAATCAAAAGATTTTACCAAAATAAACAGCTTCGACTTTTCAACTTTTCAACAACCATTCCCCACGATAAATTAAAGGCCAGGGATTTTGATAATATTGACATCTGCTTTTACAATGAAAATGGACTCGTAAATTTACCTACATTGTCATTAGTCATTTGTAAAATTCTGATTGTACACATAAGTACTCTGAAGTTGATCAGATCTTCCAACAATCTATTCATTCTATTGGAATTTCCATGGGTACAAATGACGCCCGTTTAATATTATAGCAGACATTTTTGTACTGATATGAAGCAGAGTTTATATAATTTGTCCAAAAAATTATATGTTTAAAGAAGAAAACAATGGCTTTGACCTTCAACTCGACATTTAGATATATCGACGACATCGTACTTGTCAATTGATATTGGTAATTTCTATTCTTACATGTATGCCAATAAGGAATATCATAGTTAGCTTGAGATAAAAGATACCACAGTGTCTGACACAGCTGTTTCATATTTTGATATTTTACTTTTAAAAGACGTTAATGGTAATCTCACAACCAAGCTACCTCCCGTACTTATGCAGCAATATACACTTAACAAAACTCCTAAGTGTTCACTTTAATAAATGTATTTATTTAAAAACTACTTTATAGAATGGTATGATATTTTCAAATTATTACAACAAATGAGTCTTCTCAACAATTGTAGAAAGAAAATTCAATATCACCGATGAAAACCAATGTTCCGTGACGAAGCTTAAAAACAATAAATCTGTACTTTGCGGCACGTGTTTTGTGAAATAATCATCTTTTTGTGATCTTTATCAAATTTTAAAACCTGGTTTTACTAAAAAACACAAAATATTGGCAAAATGACCATTGAGAAAGAAGGGAGAGCCGTTGGAATGTTGATACCTGGAACATCTTTGCACCACGTTTTACTCACTTTTATTTTAGTGCTTAATTGTACTTGATATTACTTTTAAAAATTATCAAACAGTATCAAAACCCATTTAAACACATTTTTCTATAGGCTGTGCTCATTTTCCATCACCGATTTATCAAAATTTGAAAGTTTATGACAAAATGGAACCAGACCGGAAGTGGCCTTGATCTTCTTATGAGAAGAAAATTTCGCGTCACACCAGGTTAAAAGAGTGTTAAAGTGTTCTAAAAAATCTTAGAAACATGGAAACAAATCATTTCAATCGTACGAAAATGATAAGAAATTGATGCTCGTGGCAGTCTTATATCAGCTCAAGCAGTCTGAATTACCCTTAAAGCGGCGCACTTACGTGCTAAACATCCAAAGATATTGACCAAAAGGGATTTGTGTGACAATACAGTGTCAAATTCCCGGATCAGAATCCTATTGATCACATTTGGGATTTTAAATGAAATGTCAACCCCCCCCCCCCTTTTTCCTAACAATTTCAATGGTTTGGAAAGATCTATGCAGTACATGTAGGTGTGGCAGCGGATTGGTCAATCTCCTATTCAAGGGTACATGGTATCCAACAATAAAGATTGTCTTGTAGTAATTATATCGAGTAGTGGATCTTACTCCATCGAGATTTTTTAGTGTGAATTTTCATGTTGAGGTTACATCATTTCCTTGACCCTCTGCTTAAAATTCTGACGAGATACTTACACGAAATTTTCGCAACATCGAACTTAAATATGCATCATTAACCAAGAATTAAAGAAATTATTTTTGTGTGCATCTGTTCTTTAAAACTTCAAAAATGTTAGGTGAACACTTAGAAGTTTGGTTCAGTGTACATGTATCTTCATCACCTGCATGCGGGGTCTAACTCTCAGTAAATCCGATACGAACAAGCATGCTCTACGTATGTACAATTTCTAAAACGAGGTAAATTGTTGACAAACAAACAAAATAAAATATTTCCCGATCATGACAAAGAGTACACGGATAGTTATTAACCAGTCGACAGGAGATGCTCTTTCACCCATGGCGCCTGATTCCACTTCTGGTGATTTGGAGGTCTGTGTCGTGTTTGTTCTGCTCCCATTTTTTTATGGACTTGTGAGCTTGAATACTGTTCGTTATCTCTGTAAATTTCATTGATATTTTTATCATTAGCTACGTTTTATCATTAGCGGTTGCTACAGAGCCCCATATATTGGATTTGCAGATTAGTTATCCAAACTGAAGTCAAATTTTGCATTAAAGGAACGAATCTAATACAATACAATGATATAGGTTGTCTAAATTATTAGAGCCAGCCTAGTTACAACATACAATGTATATCCAAAAAGACTTTTACAAGAGACAAATTTTAAAAATTCAAGGTTCAACAACTGTGGGAAGTAAATAGAATGCCAGGGTTAGGAGTGGTGTTCTGATATATACATGTGGGCATGGGTTAATTATACATGTTAATGCCCTCAGTCCCTCACATCTACTGTATTTAAGTGAACATAATTTAGTTCACCATTAACGGTGAATACAGGTACTTGTTGAATGAACCGCACATCCCACCTCACCATAGGCAGGCAATTTAATTTTGCTTGGGTCTGCATGTGCCTTTTAATGATTTTGTTCGTATTTATGTAATTGAACATTCATATTATCAAGCTATTCATGTATACTTACTACTTAGTCCTCTTCGTGCTTTGAGCACATAAGGCCTGCACCGAGGACCTCCATCTCTGTCTGTCTGCTGCAATTGCCTGTACAATGCCCCAAGTCCATCCCTGATCATTCATTTTCTTTTCAACCGACCGTCGCCGTATCTCCTTTGGTCGCCCTCTGTTTCTCTTTCCTTGTGGAGTCCATCTTAGGGCTACCCTTGGTATCTCTGATGGTTTCATCCTCAGCACATGGCCAATCCATTTCCACCTTCTTTCTTAAATCTGGTCAGATAAAGCAGCTGTGTGTGTTCTTTCATACAGCTCCTCAATGGTGATCTTGTTTGGCCAGAATATCTTCAGTATTCTACGGAGACATCTTGTTTGTAAGGTATCCAGTTTTTGCGAGATGTTCTTTGTCACTTTCCATGACTCAGATCCATAGAGAAGGACTCCTATGACATTTGTTTTAAATATTCTTATTTTGGTTTTGGATCTGATAATTGAGGATTTCCAGATGTTCCGTAGGTTGGCAAAGATGGCACGGGCTTTTGGAATTCTATTTTCAATGTCCATGGTGGAATCTCCATTGCCTGTGATCTTACTGCCAAGGTATGTAAAATTGTCTACTTCTTCTATTCTGTTGTTGTTTGCTGTGACTTCTTTATCTATCTTTGTATTTATCCTCATTAACTTTGTTTTATTTACATTTATTATCATATTATTATTATCATACTTTATGTAATTGAACATTAACATTATGAAGCTATTCATGTATATATGGTTGCATAAACTTACATCTGTTATAGTCCCTCCCCTAGTTTTCTCATGGAACACATCGTTAATATTATTATGTATTGAAAAGATAATAAATCATTTAAAAAAATGAAAATCAGAAATCGACAATCAAGTGCTGTGTATATATATTAGAAGTACCCTGTTTTCGTTGGCATAAAAATCTTATATGCATATATTTATACATTTAAGAAGTTGTGTCACATCATTATAGAATGATATTTTTTAAATGCATTTCCTGATCGGGATCGCTATCTTATTTTGTAACTTCACAATCGAGATCAATATCCCACAGTGGGAGGGGCCGAAGGAGGAAGTCTTTTAAGAATTCATTGTAATCATGGCTTCCTCGAATCCTCCCAATATGGTGGAAAAAAGCGTGTGTGCATTGTGCTCCGGGAAGTACAAATCTCCAAGATGTCTTCCCTGTTCACACTCGTTTTGTCACAATTGTTTATCGTCACACATTTTGGGCTGTTGTAAATGTAAGGAATCCCCTGTGGGTTTTAATTGCCCCGTGTGTCAGGTATTTATTCCAAGTAATGGCGAGTTTGAAACTCCCGAGAGATGGGCAGGCCTTTATCCTGTTAATACTATTTTAATGAAACTGGTTGCTTCCCCTGAACAGAAACATTGCGCTGCTTGTAAGAGAGATAACGAAGAATTAGAGGCGGTGGACTACTGTTTGGCCTGTAACGAAGAACTGTGTAAAACATGCTCAAAGTGTCACAGAAAAGGACTGACAACCTGCGACCATAAGATCTGTTCATTAAACGAACTTCAACTTCAGAACAGATCACAGCTTTCAGAATCAAATGTATGTTCAAAACATGTGGGTAGACCAGTGGAACTCTACTGTGACAATCATGGGGTTTTCTGTTGTGGGTTGTGTGGAGGAATTGAGCATAAAAAATGTGAAAATGTTTGCAGTATAGAAGAGGCACTCGAGGGTTTGAAAAAGGACAAACAACAATTAATAGAGACTTTGCATCAAAATATGACACAACACGAAGAACTGCTGACTTCATTAAAAAAATGAAGAGGAAGGGAAAATTAAGCTGCTGGAAAGTCTCCCGGAATCAGTTTCTGCTAAGTTCAAAGAATTTCGAACAAAAGTTGAAGCAGAACTAAAAAGAATTGAAGAACATGAACTGAACATATTAGAAAAAATTACTGCAAAGAAAAAGTTGCAATCGCAGAAATACATGTCTTCACTTTCAGAAAAAATAGAATGTCAGAAACAGATGGCGGGCTTGCTTAACGAATTAAAGGGGAAGGAAATTAGCACAGACATGTTATTAAGATGGAAGCGAGCTAACAAAATGTATGATTATATAAAGATAAAAGATACCCACGAAACGAAACTGAAAGTTAAAACAGAACTGTGCCAAAATTTCACAGGTATGCTGGATTTATTTGCTAGGAAGAGACTAGGTTGTAGTGAATACACCGAAAGTACATGCACATGTTTCTTGGAAATCACGGGAAAAGACGAAGTAAATCTCGAAATTTTGAAACTACATTATCCACATGTTGAAAGAACAGAAATATACTCCAATGACGGAACCTTTTTACCAAACGGTAATTTAATAATTTCAGGATATTCTAATCCAGAGTGCTATGTTTACAAGGACTTAAAGTTTGTAACGAAAATCGAATTAGATATCAAACCTCGTAATATACATAGGAAAGGAAAAGAATTATTTGTTAGCTCTCACGGTGGTAAATCCATAGAAGTATTATCATTAGAGGAGTTCAAAAAGGTTAGAACTATTCAAATTGACGAAGGTTGCCATGCTTTAGGTAGTTTCGGAGACAATTTGTATGGTGCCTGTTGCTCTTCAATCATTGAATTCGATGATCAAGGAAATAAATTGCGAACGTTTACGACAGAAGGAAGCGTTTACAATTTGACTGTGAATGACAAAGGCGATATCATTTACAGTTGTACCAACAGTTGCGTCAAAGCCCTGTCACAAGAAGGGGCTATCCTCTGGACGTATAGAAGTACTAACTTAAGTTATCCCTACGGCATTGATATCGATTCTAAAGGAAACATATATGTTGCTGGGAAAATCAGTGGAAATATCCATATCCTCAGTAAAGACCTTTCATCAATTACTGTTGTAGAGAGCATATTTGCCCCGTATTACATTAAGATTAACGAAAACAAACAAAAATGTTACGTGATTGCATACAATGGAGAGTTCCATGTACATGACATGAAGTTATCAACTGACAGAAAAGTAACCGAAAGTGCATCATGTGCTTAAGGGCAGGAACTATTTGTTAGTATTAGTTTTCTTGTTCTTAAAATTGAATTGTATTTTTTTTAAGTAATATGAGCTGTATTTTTGAAAATTCCATATTGCTGTTAAAATGTGTGAATTTGGTAAATTCGTATTTAATTTAAACCTTTATGATCAATCAGTCTAAAATGAATTTGAAGAAAAACTTTTATTGACAATACTATGTACAGTTTTATACAAGAAATTATCATTGTACAGGGCGACAATAATGTAATTTTGATTCCATCGAAGCTTACAAATAGTTCCTCTATCGCAAATATAGACAACAGAAATTAATTAACGTTATTTTTTTCTGTCATGAAAGAGTTATTTGCAATTTCATGAATTTTTCAAAAAAAAAAAAAAAAATAAAAAAAAGTGAAAAAAGATCCGACATCAAAGTTGCAGCTCATATTGCTTTAAATTTAAAATTGAATTATTGTTGTGAACTGATTCAGGGTTACTCTTACATTCAATTGATAAAATAGTCAAATTATTTTTAAGGATTCGGAATGCTTTGTTTGAAGAAAGTGTAACCGAGCTGAAGAACAACACCGTGTCACGTTTATATATGTATCTTTATTATATAACAGCAAATAAACAGCAGTGACATGAGTTCTATATGGGCAGCACGGCCTTGAGAAGTTGTGACCTTAAAAACTGGCTGGCCGTACAAGTAATTTCAATTGAACATGAGTATTTATACCCAGATTTCTGCGCAAGTGGATTGAGTTGATTTAAAAAATAGACCAGTCAGGAATAACATTACAAATGAGTGTTTGACAAAAGCCTTCACAAAATGTAAGGATTATACGCACTTGATTCAAATAATTGAATAAGAAATATGTTTACAAAAGTGAGCACGGGTTTTGCTTAAATATATATATGAAATAAAATATGTGTAATTATTTGGTCTCAAAAGGTTTACAATATATTTTTTTGTACAAATGCAGACCTGGCCTCAAGGTCTTATGTCAATTTGTTATAGATTTAACTTTTTTAAAAAAATTGCATTACATTCATATAGAAAGGAGTTTGAATTATGTACAAGCGAAATTTACTTATTCCAAAATTAATTTTATGTCAAAATATTTTATAACAGAAAATGTATCCTACATAAAAAGAATGAACACTAACATATTTTTTAAATAGCATCGCAAAATATTATTTTTAGAAAAGGTATTGAAAAAAGCTATTAAGTGTCAGCTATGTAAAATTAATATAAAAAGAAAATTATGAAAAGACCTTCATTAAGTAAAAAAGATCACATTACTTATCGTTTGCTTGAAAAAATGGGACACTTAGGTCATCTTTGAAATAATGTTTGCTTGTCATCTCCCGATTTAGGTTAACGATGTTTGGTTAGGGGGTACGTGGGAAAATCTTTTCCATAAATATAACATATTTGTTCCTAAGATAAGAAGAGTAGAAAGAAAAAAAATGTGACCTGGAATTAAAAAATAAAAAACAGAACTTTGAGTCGGGCCATTTGAAGTCATTCAGTCGGTAGAAGGCAACCAAGAATTTTTTTAAGATGGTCTAAACAAAATATATCTTTCTATGTATTTTTAAATGGGGAGTGCCATATGTTTATAATTATAACTTATCATAGTTGTTAATAATTCTTTTCAACAATAAAATGTGAAAATTTGTCTGCATAAAATTATTCAAAAATGTTTTCATAGATGGACATATTGTCATTCGTGTAGTCTTGTGAGCTAGAATTATAGCTTTGTTTGTCTCCCTTAAGATCAGGTTCACCACAAACGTAATGCACTTTTTCTATTTTTGAAACCGAATTTCTGCTACATTCTTCTTGCATTTTCTGGGTTCTGTTTTGTTTTCGTTTCTTGCACACCACACGAACTACTAAGCAAACAAGAGTGACGACAAAAAACGCAGAACCAGAGAGGGTAATGATGGATGGGATCTTCAAAATCCAATGATCTGTTCAATTATAAAAGAAAATAAATATATTTATTAGAATTTGAATGTTATGCATTGCATCAATATCATTAATAAAAAAGTTCAAAAATGGGATGACCAAATTCTTTGAAATAAAATATATAAGGAATCGTCTGCAGGTTAATTTTAGGGGAAGAATATTCCTCTTGATCATATGACATAGCAGGGCATTCATTGTGTTCTAAAATCTTACCATACTATCTATCTATTCTTTAATGTATATTCACTAAAGGATATAAAAGAAAACTTTAATTTATTTGGCTTTACAGTTTTTCGGGTACAACAAACGTTCCAGAAAAACAAAAATCCCTTACCTTCAAGCTCCTCTGCAGTGTACACTAAAAACAATAAAAATTTAAGCCTTTGATAAAAAATCATTTTCGGAGAATAATTATATTCATTATTTACATGACATTATAACATAACATTGCAGGATATAATTTTTTTGGAAATACGTTTAAATATGTATCATTCATAATTAATTAGATTTATTTATTACACATTTCATATTTTTTTGTAATTCAAAAAAAAGGTAAATTATGTTACGTTTCTGACATAGTGCTCCACTCCATCCGGTCTCACAACCATTCCCGCAAGTTCCGTTAATCTTTGAGCAGGTTGTGTTGTTTTTACAGAAGCCACAGTTTAATGTGCAGTTTGGCCCATATTTATAATCCTGGCATTCTAAAAGGTATATCATATTTAATTTGCCAATTTATCTCCAGAAAACACCTGGCAATTATAAAAGAAAAGCCTTGGGACTTCAGTTTAATAATCTATAAACCTTTGATAATAATTTTGATTGCTAGTATGACACTGAAACATTCATTGTCAGATAAATGAATGACATTTTGGGGGATAACCAAACTTAAAAGTAATATAGATGCTGACGAAAAAAAACTTGAAGTGTTTGAACGTTGATTCCTCATTTCAGAAAAATAAAGACGGTAAAAATACTTTAATTGAAGAAGAGGACACTTTTTTAAATCAAATAATTATCAAAGAAAAATGTACAGTGACAGCTGGGAATCTGTACGTTTAGTCATTTAGGTGTATAAAGAAAATTATCTTTTTATAAAAGAATCCTTAGAATTTTATTAAAATGATTTACATTTGTTTCTTTTGCTTCAGAAAAGGAATATAGGAAGAGACTTTACGCAAAAGAACAATCATGCGATGTCTATAGATATGAAGTTAAAAGGTGTGAACATAATTTCTTAAAACTTTTATCAAAAGCATCAGTAAATATTTCACAAGAAATGTTGTACATCTACATGAATACATGGTTATTATGATAACCACACTACGATAGTTACGTAATTTTGAAGGATATTGAAACAGATGGTCTTATTATTTTACCATTACAGGTTTGACCTTGCCAGTTGTCTTCACATCCTTGTGGACAAATTCCGGTGTTCTGGTCACAGTGGGTCCCATTCACACATTTTCCACATAAATTCTCACAAATGGTTCCATAATGTCCGGTTACACATGCTGTAAAAGAGGTTTTTCTGGTATAATCGGAATCCGTACTATTTCAAGGAAGTAAAATATGAAGTCATAATTTCGAATATGAAATGAAGTAATAATTCTTAATTCGAATCTTTATAATTTGTCCGTTTTTGTGCAAGGATATGAATGAACACAAGTTTATTTGGTGTAATAGTCGTAAA